TTCGAGCCAAAAACATATTCCTACCCTTTTATTTTTAAGAGACTTAATCTAAGTACAAGATTGGTGAGAGAAATTAAAGAAGTGAGGGTGAAAGTTTGTAGAAATTGTCAGTTTATTCCAAATGAGCTCAAAAGAATAGGTTGGGCATTGTGGAGTGCTTTTTAAGCAAAGGGTAGGGTAGCATTTTTAGCTTTCTTTCTTTCTTCCAAAAAAAAAAAAAAAAAAAAAAAAAAAAAAAAAAAAAAAAAAAAAAAAAAAATTTGAGAAGAAGAAAAGAAACAAAGAAAAAGTATTGTGAAACATCGCAAGGTGTAAATGACGCAATGAAATTATTTTTGATGAAGGGTGGAAAAAGTTGGGTGTAAAGAAGAATGGTGATGCTTGAATGAAAGTGTTTGAAAGAAATAGGATTGAGTCTCTTATTTTTGCTTATCCTTTCCGTTCTTTCATAACCTCATAACCTAGCCTAACATTGCAAGCTTAATAAAGACCTATTGATCTGAGGTAGTGTGATCATTCTACATTAGTGGAGAGTAGTTTAAAAATGACCTGTGGAATTTGATTCTATACATTATATTATATTTTTCAAATTTTGAGATCAATTCTTTGTTTGTGAAGTTTGTGCATGCGATCATCCGGGTTTTGAGATTAACGGGTTTGTGATGTGTGAGAGTTGATAATGAAAACGAAATTGATTTTTGAGTTACCTTTGGGCTTGGTTGATGTTTAACTATTCTTTATGTTATGTGTTGTATGCAATTTTTTAGACGAATGTATATCCGAAGACTAATGTTTTGTTTGTTTGTTTTTAATTTTTGAGTCTAGGTTAGGTTTACTATGGATGTTTGTGGGTATCATCGCTGGAAACCCTCACGAGACTACAACTCGTCCAACTAGGGCCACCTAGGGGTTTAAAGGCTTGTTGCATATGCTAAATGCAACCACGACAATCTATGGAAGTGATTTGGGGTAGATTAGATTTAGGTTTATTTTATTTTAATTTTCAAGCTAGAAGACAAATTTTATCACTTAGCTTGCTAAGGACTAGCAAGAAGCTGGTTGAGGGTTGTGATAAGTGCTTGAAAATAAACTTATACTAAGTGGTTTATAGGTATCGTTTGTGGGAAATTAGGATTAATTTGCATGAATTAACATAATTGTTTCATAAATGCACTTTTCGGGATCATGGGTATTTTTGTTATGTTTTCAGGGAATAAAGCTTAAAAATAATATTCGGATGAGAGATGATGTTGGCAAGAGAATTTGTGATGACTAGAAATGAAAGGATCAAGAATCAGAGTTGAATTAAAGAAGTTATGGCAATTTGAAGTTGAAGTGAAAATCCTGGAAAACACTCCAGTTTTGCACATGCCTCGGTGTTTCAATAATAACTTGAGTTGTAGATATTTTATCGAGATGATTCTTGAACCATTGGAAAGCTAATTTAAATGGGTAAATTTCATATATTAACACTTTTCTAGATTTTTTCGTTATCATGCTCAAAAATCACCATCTTTGTAGTGATGAAGAATGATGCAAGGTCAGGAGTGGAATTGGACACTATGCCGTAGCACTGTGCTGCAGCACAACAAGACCAAAACCAACCATGCTGTAGCACACTTAGTCCAAAATCAACCATGCCATAGCATAGTGCCAGGGCACAGTCACGACAGCTGGAAATTTTTCTTCCATTTTGACTAGGAAGATAGGGTTTAAGAGTCCTAAACTAAATATAATTAAGGAAAACAAAACCCTAAACCTTGCGGGATATAAATAGAAGTATTTTAGCATTATCTTAGGGGATTCTTAAGAGATACTAAAGAGAGAACAAAGTGTTAGGAATGGTCCCATATACGTAGCGGAAACAAAACAAATATAATATAGAGATCGTTTATATGAGCCAAGATCAAGGGTATAATTTTACAATTCATATTAAAATAATATCTGCAGGAAAAATAAATCTGAGTTTAAAGAAAACAAACGCACGTTGGAGGCTCCTCCAAATTTGTCAATGAATGTTTTGCTACTGATCCAAGTGTAGGATCGAACCCACGTAGTCCACACAAAGACAATCTAGAAAGAACCAAAGAGGGATTTGCTAGATCCTCTTTGGCTTCAAGATTAAGAAGAAAGCAAATCAATTGAATTGATTTTTAGGCCAAAAGGTGTTGCTGCCGTGGGAGAGAAAGAGAAGGGTTGTGTGTGTTTTAATTTCAAAGGAAATCAATTAACTGAATAATCACACACTTTTCTTTTTATAGTAAAATAATCAAGTTGCCCTATTCCCATATGGAATAGGCTTGGGCTCCAACCCAAGCACCCCATGTTGCCAAACACTCCCAATTTGATATTTTATTTTCCATCATTATCTCAATTAAAATCAATTAATATATATTAACATTTAACAATAATGATAATATATTTAAATATGTGCGAACACATATTTAAACGTAATTTCACTTATTTAATTTTTCTAACAAATTAAATAAAGGCTACGACCTCAGCAAATTTAATTGCACTGTGAAATTACCAAAATACCCTTTCGCCTTAAAAGACGAAAACGCCCTTCTTTCTTCTTGCATCTTAAATTGTCTTCTATGTGTGTGACCCTTAGGCTCCTCATCATATCGGCAGTGTATAGTATTGCGATTAACACCAATTAATCGTCTCACTAATACACAGACCAAGATTGGCCCCTAGCAAGGCATCATGGCCACCCGATAGATTCGGATTCAGCAAAGTAGCTACCTGTCAACGATATGGTTACCGTGCAATTCGATCCTTTCATCATACGTTATCTCGACGAGACGAAGGCATAGAAATAGTGTCAACCTTCGGTTACTCTCGATATTATTTATTCAGTTTCTGGACCAATGACCCGTATTATAAACTGGATAGAGCAACAACTCAATCCCACTGTGGCCACAGTTTTAGTGTCATTGCCATATACTGAATTGCGCCGTGAGATAACTTTCTCCCGTACCCGGGAGTGATGAATCCTCTGTCAATCCACCATAGTCTTGATACACTCCTTGATGCAGCCAATCACCACCGTATTGACAGCTCTGAAAAGAACTGCGTTAGGCTAGTGTCAAACTACACCAATCGGTGCACAAGGCGCTCCGGTGATCTCAAGTCTAAGGATCACATGCACCACCATTCGTTAGAGGATTTGTTCCATAGACACTGGGGTTACCATCCATATGGAATCCTCTGGTGGGTCAGTCCAGTGAACTTGCTGTGGTGTAATCGCCTACAACAAGCACCCATGTGTTGCACCAGGTTGTCACCAAACAACCTTGACAAGTGAGATCAGTCACTGCCTTTCGACAGGGTCGTTCAACACTATGATAGCCTTACCGTATTATCTGTGCCCTTACTTCAGAATAATACTAGGGCTACGGACGTTTCTAGAATGGCCACCATATATGCTCATAGGGTTCTCACTATCAAGATTTGAAACACTTGATACCCTCGTCACGGTTCTACCATTCTAAGGACATATATCAATACATATTGCAATAATAATGATTTATGCGATATAGAATAAGATGCCTTTTATTATTGATTAATGAACATTATTACAAAGAGTCAATTCTACAATAATTAATTGGCTCTAGAGCACCTATCCAACACAAAGATATTCAAGAACTGAAGAAAAAAAGAGATTAAAGAAGGCTTGGAGAGGAAGAATTGGAGGAGATCATCATCAACTCCATTAATCCAACCAAGTTTTACTAAGTTTTTCTTCTTCTTTGTTATTATTATTTGTTATGAATAAGACAATGACATTCTCATAATTATTCATGAAGAGCTAATTCTTTTGTAATTAAGGGTGATTTCAAAACCCTAGACATGTTCTGTGATTAATAAAACTGCATCTTTTTATTTTTTGATCCCTCTTAGTTATGTGATTATTTCTCTGAAAAAAGGATTTAACTAGATTGTTCTAATTGTTTAAGTGGCTAATTAAATCATTAGGATTAATCTACTAATGCCAATTTAGGTTGTTTAGTACAGAATCGCTTTATTAACCTAAATAACTAGTGGTAAAGTGTATGCCTGCATACACCGGGGGTAATCACTCAAGATAACTAAATCGGCCATATGAGTTTAGCCTTGATTCAATAGGTCTGTCACAACTTAATGCTTTTATCACTTTGAATCTAGGGATCGTATCCTATGTTATTTAATAAATAAGGAATTGGGTTATGACCGTGTCTAGTTCAACGACTCAGTAAGGAGAGATGTGACTTATCAACGTTTGGTATTTTTTGAGCTGATATGATCAAGAGGGTAGAAAGTTAAAGAGTGCTTTTATTATATGTAATCCATGTCTAGTGGTGGCAAATAAACCTTCAATCTCGTTTCTCTCATTGATTTCTCTTTCGTTACTAGTTGCTTGATTTACATTGTTTGCTTTTAGTTTGTTAGTTTTTGTTGAGTTTTAATAATTCGTGACAAACCCTGTTAGAAATAGATAATTAATTAAGTTCACAAATCCTTTACGGGAAAGACCCTTACTTGCTCTTTGCTACTACACAACTTTGCATTAGAATTTAATGAGGTAAAATTAGGTGTTGCATTTGCATGCATCAGCACTCTAGGCTTGACATCATCTTCTATGAGTATCTCGTGCATACAAAGAGATGGAGAATTGTCTTTAATGTTAGAAATGGTCCATCCAATGGCTGATTTATGCTCTCTTAACACTTGAATCAATCTCTCTTCCTCCACTTTACTCAACTTTGCATTGATGATTACCGGAAAGGATTCTAATTCATCAAGATACACATATTTAAGGTGAGATGGTAAAGGCTTCAGTTCAAGCTTTGGAGGTTCTTCCATTCTTGCCTTTTCCTTCTCTTTTTCTATGTCAAAATCTTCAAATTCTGGATCTTGGCTTGTGTTTATCAGTTGGAGTGCTTCCAAATACCTAGCACACTTATTCTTCTTTGGCTCGTCTACCTCGGTTGTTTTGGATTGGGCAATGCAAACTTCTAGAGGTAATTGAGGGTGATCTCTTCGATGGTATCCGTTACAAGTTTATCCACCAAATCCACACTAAAACATGAATCTAACTCTGATGGAAATTTCATAGCCTCGAAGACATTAAAAGTCACCGTTTCATCTTGGACCCTTAGGATCAACTTTCCTTGTTGAACATTAATCAAAATCCTCCCTGTAGCAAGGAATGGTCTTCCCAGAATGAGTGGTATTTCCATATCCAACACAACAAAGTCCACAGGGAAGATAAACTTATCCACTTTAACTAGCACATCTTCAATAATGCCCCGTGGATGCTTGATGGATCGATCTGCTAGCTGCAAGGATACGATTGTGGGCTTCACCTCACCAATCCCTAGTTTCTTGAAAACAAAAAAAGGCATTAGGTTAATGCTAGCACCCAAATCACATAAAACTCTATCAAATGTAATATCTCCTATAACACAAGGGATAGTGAAACCCCCTAGATCCTTGAGTTTTGGTGGTAACTTCTTTTGCAAAATGGCACTGCACTCTTTTTTAAGCATCATTGTTTCATCCTCTTCTAGCTTCCTTTTGTTTGAAAGGATCTCTTTCAGGAATTTAGCATAACTCGGCATTTGCTGCAAGGCATCTACAAAAGGTACATTAATCTGCAATTTTTTAAATACATCTAGGAAGTCCTGATTTTGCTTTCTGAGCCTCTAAAGAAAAGGAACAAAGGGGGTATGATGTGCCAACTCCGGCGGTATCTTTGGAAAAGGTAACTTCTCTTTTCTTCTCTTTTGCATGCTTTCTTGATGAAGTTCATTTTCTTGGCTCTGTACTTTCTCTTTCACAATGATTTCTTCATCAACTTTTTCCTCAGATTTTCCCTTCTTCTTTGAAGGGTTCTTATCCTTCTTCCTTGATTCAACTTCTTCTATGACTTTCCCACTTCGTAAGGTGATGGCATTTGCTTGTTCACATGGGTTAGTCACCATATTGCTTGGCAAAGAACCTTGAACTCTCTCATTCAACTTTTCTGAAACTGTCCCAACTATACTTCAAAATTTCTAATGGATGCTTCTTGGTTTCTAACATTGGATTGTGTCTCATTCATGAATTTTGTGGTCTCTTGCATGAATTTCCTGAACATATTTTCCAACTTTGATACCTTCTACTCTATTGGTTGAAGATTCACTGCTTGTTGATGATTTGGTATTGTCCTTTGGTTCAATTGATTGCCTTGATTGCTCCAGGAAAAATTTGGGTGATTTCTGCATCCAGGATTATAGGTATTGGAAAAAGGATTATTTTGGGATCGCTGATTTTTGGCTAAATAATTGACTTGCTCTAAAGATGAGGATGATGAGGCAAAGGTGTTCCCCACTTTGCAGTCAATGCTTTCATGGTTACCTACACACAAGTCACAAGTTAATTGAGGTGCTTGAATAGAATTAACCTGCATACCTCCTAATTGTTTATGAAGTGCTACTAGTTGGGCTGAAATGGCCGTGTAAGCGTCAACTTCATGAATACCTATAGACTTCTTCAAATGTATTCTCTCATTGGATCTCTGATAGTTGTTACTTGTCAGGACTTCAAGTAACTCATAGGTTGCTTTCGGTGTCTTGTTTTGCAATGCTCCTCTAGATGCTGCATCCACCATTGTTTGTACATTTGGAAGCAACCCATTATAAAAGGTTTGGACTTGCATCCAAATAGGTAAACCATGGTGTGGACACTTCTTCATTAGTTCTTTATACCTTTCCCATGCTTCATATAGTGACTCATTCTCATCCTACAGAAATGATGTGATGTCATTTCTCATCTTTGCTAATTTCGCTGGTGGGAAATATTTAGTTCGGAACCTTTGTCCCAATTCATTCCAGATGGTGATTGTTCCTGCTGGTAGTGCCAATAACCATCCCTTTGTTTTATCTCTTAGTGAAAATGGAAATAATCCTAACCTGATGGCATCATCTGACACTCCGTTTGCTTTAAATGTGTCGCATATCTCCAAGAAGTTAGGAATATGTGAGTTTGGATCTTCATTTGCATTTCCCCCAAATTGTACCGACTGTTGGATCATTTGGATGATTGCTGGCTTTATCTCAAAAGTGTTGGCCTGTACCAGTGGCCTAGTGATACTTGGACCACTACCATCAATCGTGGGCACTGAGAATTCCCTCAAAGTTCTATCGTTCGCCATTTCTATGCGTAGTGTCTCTTCTCTCTCTCTTCATTCCTTAACAAATCTTCTAGCTATTCTCTCGATATCTAGATCAATGGGAACTATAGGGAGACTTCTTACTCTTCACATAAACTACAAAAGGAAGAAAAAGGAAGATCGTGAGATTACACAAACTAAATAGAATGAAAGTAAAACTAAAGGCAAAACTAAAATTTAGAACTTCAACTTAGCGAAAATTAGAAGAATTCAATATCAGCACAAAATCAGTCCCCGGCAACAGCGCCAAAAACTTGATGCATGATTCGTCAAACATGCATATGTAGCAAGTGCACTAGTCACAAAAAGTAATACAATGATGAAGTAAAGTATCATTCCCATGAGGATTGTGTGCTAATTACAAAGTTTCCTAATTCTATTACTAATTGAAGAATACAAAAATGTTGGAATTGTGGGTAAAGTAAAGCTAGAATTAAAACACAAAATCAAACAACTAAGATTAAAACTAAACTAATCAACACAATTTCAAATCAAGGCAAAAGAGGTTAGGGTTCAACTTCACTAGGATACTCTAGTTTAACCTATAATTTCTATTGCTTCCAAATTCACATGCAAGGATTATAAATCAAATTCCTTAAGTTGAAGAATGTACCTTCTCAGGCTATATTCTCCTACCTATCCCTATTAAGCTTCTGCACCCAACAAAATGAAGATTAATAGTTCAAAGTCTATTAAGCTAAATGGAATCCTATAAAGATTTCATAGATCGCTAAACCTACCTCTAGCTTTTGCTTAATCTATAGTGTTTACTGTAAGAAGCTAACACATGAATCACTTCTCAGTCTCATCATGCTCAACATTCAATTGAATTAAAAAAACCAACATCCAATTGCATTAAGTACAAGAATAAACACATAATCCAAACAATGGAACTCAAAAACGACACAAATTTATAGACTAAACCATTGTAATCCAAGTTACATCAAAACCCTAACCCAAAAGTGAGTTAGTTCATGCTCAAAATAAAGAAAAACATCACATAAATTGAAAATGTGGAGTTTAACATATTAGAAATTGAAAGAGAAATGAATTCTTCCCTAATTTGGAGACCCAAATTCTTCAAATCTCTTTCTCCTCTTCCCCTTACCTAAAAATGCCGACCCCCCTTAAAAAATGAACTAAGTCTCTCTTAAATAGTCGGCCAAAACCTTAGGAACTAATACAATACAAGTGAAACGCAACGTTTTACAGAAATAGATTTTTACAGTTTTCACTGCAGTGAAAAAAATTCTCGCTGCGGCATCGATTTTAATTTCGCTGAACCATCAGTCCAAAGGCTAGCTTGCCGCGGTGAAGAGAGAACCTTGCCACGATGAACTCTTGCTAATCTTTGCTGAAATTATGGAACTACCCTTTGCTTGCTTCTTCGCTTGAGTCTTTGATCTTCGTAATCCCCAATAGGAACAAACTTCACAGTGCTTCCAATCAGCATTAGAATTCCCCCAATCCCTAAATTTCGCTTGATTCTAGGTCCAAAGACTCGTTTTTGCTCTATTTTGCTCCAACTGCATGTTTTGGCCTGAAACATAAAATATACAAATTTAAGTAGTAATTCAGGCACAAAACTTAATAAGAAGTATCCGAAATCCTACAAAAAGCATAAAGAAAACAGTATAATCCTAGGACAGTATAATCCTAGGATTTTCAAGGGTCTTTTCTCACGAGACGTTGAGTTAGGGTCAGTTGCATGTCTCGAGTCTGAGTTGTTGAGTTGTTTTTTACTTTCTCATTGACGTGCTTTTCTCAGTTGTTTTATGAGTTACTTTCTCATTAGGTTAGGGAATCCACCCTTTTTGAGCTTGAATTATGGTGTGGCTATGCAATGAAGTCACCTTTTCGAGCTCCAAACTTCGAGTCTCTTCGACAGTAACCATTTTCATTGTAATCTTAACAAACATTTAAAGTACAAAATGAATGCTGAATAATACTTGTTATTTATTGAAAACATATTAACCATAAACGGCCTTACACTTTATGATTAAAATCATAAACTTAAGACTAAAGAACTAGATCCGAGCCATTTATTAGTAATACCTTCGTAGATACTCAACGTTCCATGCTCGCAAGATGACTACGTCGTTTAAATATACCAGTTGAAAGGTTCCTGGTACGAGCTTCTCTAAGATCCTGAAAGGACCTTCCCATTTGGGCCCAAGTGCCCCCAAGTTCGCATCTTTTGTTCCGAAAACAATTTTTCTTAGGACTAGATCTCCTACCTCAAAATATATGTTTCTTACTTTCGAGTTTCACCCGTTATTGATACAAGGCTATTCTCAACTAGGATTTAGTTCGATGTTCCTCAATTAGATCTAACTTTAAACGTAGGAACTCTTCATTGCTACCTTTGTCAAAGATTTCTCTCCGCAACGAACTAACTCCAACTTCAACCAAGGCCATATAAGCAAGCAAAAATGGGGTTTCTCCTATTGAGCTTTTGGTCGTGGTTTTATACGACCATAAAACTTTGGGTAGCTCATCTGCCCATGTCTCTTTAAGGGAGTCAAGCTTTTTCTTCATAGTGTGCTTGATCCCTTTATTCACCGCTACAACTTGTCCATTGGCTTGAGGTTGATAAACGACTGAGAAACTTTTCTTTATGCTGAGCCTCTCACAAAATGACTAGAAATCCTCACAATCGAACTGCTTTCCATTATGTGTAGGATTCTAAATCTACAAATGATACTTTTGTCAACAAAGTCCTTCAGTTTGTTCGACGTTATTATCACCAAAGGCTTGGCTTCTGCCCACTTAGTGAAATAGTCGACTACAACCACTGCAAATTTCACTCTCCCATTTCCCTAAGGTAATAGGTGTTAGGAATGGTCCATAGATGCAGCAGAAAATAAAATCATAATAACAAGGATCGTTCCCATTGAGCCAAGATCAAAGGTACAATTTTACAGTTTATGTTAAAATAGAAATCTGCATAAATTAATCATGAGTTTAGAAAAACATACGCATTTTTGGAGGCTCCACAAAATTTGTCAATGAACATTTTGCTACCGACCCAAGTGTAGGATCGAACCCACGTAATCCGCATGAAGACAATCACAAAGAACTAAGAAGGGATTTGCTAGATCCTCCTTAGCTTTAAGATCAAGAAGAAAAATCAATAAAATTGATTTTAGGCAAAAATAAATTCTGCCATGGGAGAGTGTTTAAGGGGCAACTGTGTTTGTGCCTTTCAAAGAAAAAAAAAATGAAAAATCTCTTACATTTTACAAAGAAACATTTTCTTTTATAGTGTTGTTTTAATGCCCTATTCCCATATGGAATAGGCTTGGGCTCCAACCCAAACACCCCATGTTACCAAACACTCCCAATTAGATATTTATTTTTATTTCATCATTATCTCAATTAAAATCAATTAATATATATTTAATCTATATATTAACATTTAACAATAATGATGATTTAATTAAATATATGCGACCACATATTCAAATGTAATTTCACTTATTTAATTTTTCTAATAAATTAAATAAAGGCTACGACCTTAGCAAATTTAATTGCACTGTGAAATTACCAAAATATCATTTCGCCTAAAAGACAAAAACACCATTCTTTCTTCCTGAGTCTTAAATTATCTTCTATGTGTGTGACCCATAGGCTCCTCATCATACCGGTAGTGTATAGTATCGCGATTAACACCAATTAATCGTCTCACTAATACACAGACTAAGATTAGCCCCTAACAAGGCATCATGGCCACCCAATAGATTCAGATTCAGATTCAGATTCAGCAAAGTAGCTACCTATCAATGATATGGTTACCGTACAATTTGATCATTTCATCATACGTTATCTCTACGAGATGAAGACATAGAAATAGTGTCAACCTTCGGTTACTATCGATATTATGTATGTAGTTTATGGACCAATGACATGTATTATAATCTAGATAGAGCAACGACTGAATCCCATTGTGGCCACAGTTTTAGTGTCATTGCCATTTACTGAATTTCGCCGTACGATAACTTCTCCCATACCCGAGAGTGATGAATCCTCTGTCAATCCACCATAGTCTTGATACACTCCTTGATGTAGCCAATCACCACCGTATTGATAGATCTAAATATAACTGTGTTAGGCTAGTGTCAAACTACACCAATCGGTGCACAAGGCGCTCCGATGATCCCAAGTCTAAGGATCACATGCACCACCATTTGTTAGAGGATGTGTTTCATAGACACTGGGGTTTCCATCTATATGGAATCCTCTGGTGGGTTAGTCCAGTGAACTTACTGCAGTATATCCGCCTACAGCAAGCACCCATGTGTTGCACCAAGTTGTCACCAAACAACCTTGACAAGTGAGATCAGTCACTGCCTTTCAACAAGGTCATTCAACACTATGATAGCCTTACCATATTATATGTGCCCTTACTTCAGAATAATACTGGGCCTACGAACGTTTCT